TCGTATGGGCTACCAAACAACAGGCTGCTTTTGCCGAGCTATGACAGCGGATGCAGTCAGCCCCTGTTCTTGCGCATTTTGACGATGATGCTGACACAGAGGGGCCCACTGACGCCAGTAACATCGGCCTCGGCGCAGTGCTCGTCCAGCATCAACACGGCAAAGAACGAGTCATTGCCTATGCCAGCCGCTCACTGTCCTGTACCGAGGTCAATTACACGACCACAGAGAAAGAGTGTCTCGCAGTAGTGTGGGCGATCACCAAGTTTCGCCCATACCTCTATGGTCGTCCATTTAAAGTGGTGACGGACCACAATGCCCTCTGCTGGTTGGTAAACATTCGTGATCCCTCTGGACGACTGGCCCGATGGAGCTTGCGTCTACAGGAATTTGATGTTACCATCGTATATAAGTCTGGACGGAAGCATGAAGACGTTGATACGCTGTCGCGTGCACCCATACCTTTAGTCAATCAAGAATAAGACGATGATGACGGTTTCCTGGGCGCCCTTAGCTCATCTGACCTGAGCATACGCCAGCGAGAGGATGAAGAGATTCGACCGCTATTCGACTATCTGGAGGGTCATAGCGCCGTTATACCCCGCCATCTATTTCGTGTCATGACGTCTTTCTGCCTCCGAGGTAATGTCCTGTACAAAAAAAACGCCCGTTCTACGAGCCGCGCTTACCTCCTCGTCGTTCAGAAGGACATGCAGGATGAAGTCCTCTCCGCGTGCCATGACGAGCCCACATCTGGTCATCTAGGTTACTCACGAACGCTCGCCAGAGTAAGTGAGGCGTACTACTGGCCCGGACTTTCGGCAAGCCTGAAGCAGTACGTTAAAAGCTGTCGTGAATGCCAGCGTCGAAAGTCGCCACCAAGCAAGCCGGCTGGATTACTTCAGCCAATTGATCCACCCCACAAGCCATTTGACCAAGTCGGCGTGGACATTCTCGGCCCATTTCCTTTATCGTCCGACGGCAACAAATGGGTCATTGTTGCAACTGACTATTTCACCCGCTATGCTGAGACACAAGCGATACCACGAGCCACGGCTTCTGAGGTAGCACAGTTCTTCATGTGCCACATTGTTCTGCGCCACGGTGCTCCATCTACAGTGATAACCGACAGAGAAACAGCGTTCACTGCACAGCTTATTGATAAAGTTTTTTCGGCTAAGTAACACTAGGCATCGAACGACGACTGCTTACCATCTGCAGAGCAACGGCTTAACCAAGCGACTAAATAAGACAGTCACAAACATGATCTCCATGTACATCGACGTCCAACACAAAACATGGGATCGCATTTTGCCTTATGTGACGTTCGCTTATAACACCGCCGTTCAAGAAACAACCCGATTTACACCGTTTTGCCTTCTCTACGGCCGCGAAGTTCAGACGATGCTGGATGCGATGCTTCCTTATGAAGGTGCTGATCGGTTAACAGCGGACACAAGAATTTGCAGAGCGTGCCGAGGAAACTCGCCAGCTCGCCCGGCTACACATTGGTCAGCAGAAACAGGTCGATGCACGACGTTACAATATGCGTCACAATGACGTATGTTACAGTCCGGGAGACCAAGTTTGGGTTTGAACCCCTGTTCGACGCCGTGGCCTCTCCGAAAAGTTGCTCAGCAGATACTTCGGTCCGTATAAATTAATACGCCGCGTGAGCGACGTAAACTACGAAGTGGTTCCGGATGCTACGTCATCACGATGGGCACAACGAAAACAACCGACATCTGACATAGTTCACGTGGTGCGCATGAAGCCCTATTTTGCGCGTTCCTAAAAGACCACTTTTCCTGTGTTTTTTTTTATTTGTGCTCTGACAATTGCCTCATCATTGGTGAACTTATCACGTCTAACATTTGATTTTGGTGCCCTATTTCATTGTTTAACCTTCTTTGTTTTGCTTTTTTTCAATAACTTTGCAGCATCATGCTGTGTCATTTTGCATATGTGGCGGCAATGCATGTCTGGAAGAGAATGGAAAGGGACAAGCTTAATGCAATGATCAGGAGAGCTGTAAAGAATGCCCTTGGGCTCCCCAACTACACCCACACCAATCGTCTCCTGCAGTTGGGAATTCATAATACATTGGAGGAAATTGCGGAAGCACAAGAAAGAACACAGGTAATTAGGCTGTCTGGCTCAAAAGCGGGGAGGATGATTCTCGCAGAAATGGGTATTCCACCAGCTCAGATTGAGGCTCTGTACCAAGGGTTGACGAGGGATCAGAAGGAAAACATCATTGTCTCGCCTGCCCCGCGGAACATGCATCCCCAACGTAATGTTGGAAGGAGGAGAGCGCGCGCTCGGGCCCTTCTTCGCCAAGTTGCGGATCTTGACGGGGGGGCCTGTTTCGTAGACGCGGCGCAATATGATGGCCAGAGAGACCGATTCACGGTAGTGGCAATCAACCACAAAGGCATTACAATTAATGCGGCGTCGGTATGCGCCAGAACTGCCAATGCAGCTGAGCAGGTTGCCATCGCCTTGGCTCTTTTAGATCAGCGTAATGAACACATATTTAGCGATTCTAGAGCTGCCATTCGTGCCTTCAGTGTTGGAGCTGTGTGCAAAGAGGCCAAAAACATACTCGGTGATAAGTTGCTTACAACCCATACCATTACATGGTTCCCAGCTCATATGGGAAACATGGACGGAGGGATCATAAATCTCAATGAGTTGGCCCACTCCAGGGCGCGAGGGTTAGCTGTCCGCGGCCATGGAGGACCTTTGGGTCGAACTGGAGATTTCGTAAACAGGGATCCGCCAACTACATATAATGAAATAAACCAACATTTCGCTATGGATAGGAGAATCTTTCCACCTCCACATGCGAAGCTAAATAGAGCGCAGGCGCTTACATTGCGATTACTTCAAACAGAAACGTACCCTAACCCTGCCTTTCTTCACAAGCTTTATCCTGATGTTTATTTAACCAACTCGTGTACAAAATGTGGCGGTTTAGCCACCTTACACCACATGCTCTGGGAGTGCCCTTCGGTACGTGGCACCGATACAGCATCGTCCAGAAAGTGGGACTCCGCTCTCCGGAGTCCAGACATAACATCGCAACTTTGGGCTGTCCAGAGGGCCCACGATGCGGCGCTAGGGCTCGGCCTTACTGTCCCATCGTGGGAGCGGCCCGCCGTGTGCTAGGGCGCACGCCTTCGGACTTGTCAATAAAGTTTTTCCAAACCAAACCAATCGGGACGATGCTCTTTCTTTTTTTTTTTTGTTGAGGAGGAATATCGCCACCTCCTTCTAGTAGTGGGTCGTATGCCAAGGTGAAGGCTCACACCACAGAGGAGAAAGAAGTGCGCGTGGACCTCCCGCTTTGGAAAACAAGCCCAACCGACGCGCTTGGTTAGAGCCCTGTTGCTTGGACATCAATAAACCTTGTTGACACCCCCTGGAGCGACGTGACAATATATATATATATATATATATATATATATATATATATATATATATATATATATATATATATATATATATATATATATATATATATATATATATATATATATATATATATATATATATATACGCGGAAACGACTCTCTACAAAGCTCCCTTCTGAACAACAGTTCCTTTCGCAGCATAGGCATGAAATTCGTTATCGAAGGTCACTATATATTTACGTGATGGCTTTGTTGAAGCAAAACTTGGTCCCAGTTGTTGGTTTCCCAGTGGGTAGTGCAGGGGCTAAGTCAGCCTTACTTTTCTCAGTGGGGGAATACGTGCATGCTGCCGTGTTGACTGCTTTGTTTCTACTCCTGAAGACCATATCAAGCCGTGAATTTTATTCTTTGACTTCTAGGTCATCAACAACACCGACGACCCCCACCATAGTGGTCTAGTGGCTAAGGTACTCTGCTGCTGACGCGCTGGTTGCAGTGTCCAATTCCGGCGGCGGCAGCTGTACTTTCGATGGAGGTGAAAATGCTGTAGGCCCGTGTTCTCAGATTAGGGTGCACGTTAAAGAAAACCAGGTGGGAGAAATTTCCGGAGTCCTCCACTACGGCGCCTCTCAGTATATTAAAGTGGTTATGGGACGTTGAACCCCACATATCAAGAACACCAACGGTGCCGGTACTGAGTTTTGCACGACACGGGCTCGATAAAGCTATCGTACTAAGGGTTCCTAAGCCCACCCTCACTATCGTCAGTATAGACTGTGAATTGCCTGCTTTTACTCGGTTATCATAAACCGCGGCACGTAGCTAGCGGCCAGACGTCCCCATGGAAAGCGTTTTAATAAGCATGTGCTGGGCAACACCCGTTATTCTTATTATGAGGTGTAAATCGTGTTCGTCATGTATACTTAAGTACTGCTCGACCATTCACTGTACATACCAAGTAGAGGAACTCACGCTGTGAGCACCGAGAGCACGTGAGAACCGTGATAACGAGATAGATTAATTGAATATTCGAAGTTTTTTTTTTGCTTAGAAGGGCTTCGAATTTGAAGCAACACTACCACCGCTCCAACATTCCTGTCAAGGAATAGTCCAGCAGCGTAAACTGTACTTGGGACGAAGAAACACAGGTAGAGAGCCCGACTGTAGACTAACAACTGATTTGTTGAAATCACAAAGACTTTCCTCGTGCAACAGTGAGCATCTGCAAAGAATCACAACCACATGGGAATTACACACTACCCTAACAAAAGCACGTGAATTCCGCGAACGTTGTGGATATGTAGACACGTCCCAGATAAGCGCGTAATCTCAACATCTGTACATGTCATCAAGAAAAAGCGTCATTATATCTTGTATACTAGTGCCTTGGCGGGGGAGTGCACTATAATTACGTGTTCATTACTGTTATTGCACACACGTAAATGTAAGACCAACTAGTGCCTCAAAACCAGTTCCCCGAGCAGTAAGTACCCTTTGCTGCAAAATTGCGACCAGCAGCAAAATTAAATTCTGCTACAACTGCCCTTGAGTAAATGTAGTGTGATGAGAGACATGTAAACTTACAAATTTAAGGCAAGTTTTGTGTTGCCATATCGACCTTAGTCCAGAACTTGTGTGCCTGTGAAAAAAGTAGTAAACATAAGTGAGGATGTGACGACATCTAGTAGTTCAACGTCATTCAACGCTTCCTTTTCGTTTGCATTTATCAATCATACACATAGGCTTTCACAGCTGTACATAACAAATTGATGACCTGGAAAATTCTTTGTCGCCCTAAGCGCCCGAAGAGGTGCTGCTGGAAAAAACGTGGTTGTGCTTTTTTTCCATAAATAGGTAGTAGTGGACGCCCACAAGCACACACCCAATTACGCCTGTAGGTTGACACTGACTCAACTTTTTGCGCGAGTGTCTCGCTACTGCCACCATAGGCGTATCCCCTGAGTTGGCAAGGGGATGCTGCCCCCCCCCTCCCCTGACAAAAACGAGAAATATTGAGACCCCTCCCCCAATTCCGGCAGTGGTCGTTGTCAGCTGTCCACTGAAAAACTTACTGGGGTGAAATTTTGGATCAGTGCATCAGCCACGTAACTATACATTATGAGCTTTTTTAACATACTTTTTCTAGACTTCTGTTGGGAGGGGAGAGGGGCGACGAGGTTTTTTCTATGTCTCGTGACTACGCACTGTAGACTTTCTGATTTTCTGGCCGCTTTCGCGTCGTTTGCTCAAACTTTGTAGAGACGGTTACTACTCAGCAGGGGCTCCAGAGCGTTATACCACTCTGTCAGTCATTTATACCACTCTGTCAGTCATTGTTTGCCTGAGCACGTATTTATATACAAGTGAAGCAGGTGCAGGTGGGAACCAAATAGAAAACGCCATATAAACCAATAGCGCCCTCTTCTTGGCTAAAATATTATCTTTCTTGGAAAACGAATTGAATCGCCACTGTTCTACATCACAGCCGCAATGAGTCAATGAGGCAGTAGAAGTGTTTTTAATGGAGGCCAAATTATGAGAGCTAAAAATGCTTGGCAGTTTAGTCACCCATTTACCAGCCTCATCTAATGTATAACTTGGTAATTTGCAACAAATTGGCGTGGCTCGCAATGATGTTATGAGCAGCTGACTAGAGCACAGAGGGAAGCCCATCTTTGAGGTTTTTCCTGCAAATTTATCGACTTGAGCAGAGAGATGGTTACGTCCATAGTTATCTGGATTAAAAAGACTGCCCATCTGCGCAGGTTCTTATCCCTTTCTATGAAAATTGATTTTATCCTGCCGGAAAGCAGTTCCCAGAGAGGAGTACATGTGCTTAACGGCTCGATATCGATACACTACAACTACAATTATTTATTAACTGCGCAAGATTCCGTGTAGCCAACTACTACAAAGGGCGCCGCTAATTCGATCGACGGGAATTCTTTTAAATTACGCTAAGGAGACACTGTGCGGCAATGCCGAAGAAACCTCACCACACTAAAGCACTCTTAAATGTGCACAAGCAATTTTAACGCAACGAGTTTGCACAAATTTGCGACGTCTCGTATAACACAGGTGATTTCAAGTAATACGAACTTTTTTACCATTTTAGAAAAATTATTTTAGTGGGATAGTGCGCAAACAATAATAACACAGTAGAAGTAACGTGGAGACAGCGCAAAACCACACACTCAAACTTTATTGAAAGAAAAATATATGCGTAGTTCAATAAGTACGCGTTGAAAATCGATAATTTAACAAAAGTGAGTTCATTGGCATGCTTTTGAGAAGTCCAAACCTGAGGCAATCGCTAACAGGACCCAAAGTTTTGCGATACAGAATCCCCTGCTTTTTGCATTGGATACGTTTATTCCTTCACTTTCATGCACTACCCTATCGTCAACCTGCATTGCAATACCGTGTCAGCAGATACAGGTGCGCAGCCGGATTCTCTACCGTAAACTGATAGCTTAGAACTCGGCTGTCTTTTAGTGAAGCTAGAGTGTACTTGTATAGGGGAATTGACCAGGGGCTCAGAATGGTCGCAGCATCAACGTACAGACGTTGAAGCCGAAACAGGGTAAAAAGCCACTCGGGGCGCCGTGATCGGTAGTCTGTAGGGTGTTGTCGTTTCAAGAGTTCAGCGTAGTTCCATAAAAGTGGTGCAGAGGTAGAATGTGCCCTTCCCACTCGAAAGGCCCTGGCTTGAATCGCAGCTGTAGATGTTCAGTTTCAATTTGCTTGTGCAACTTCTTTAGCTGTTTTCATTTTTCTTTATTTCTCTAAGCTACCTTTATTTGGGGCGTGTTCCTACAATAACTAACTTGAAACGTGAAAATAGAAAACAATCTTCACTGAGCGTAATTATTTGCAGCGTGGAAACATGGCATTCGAAGAAAACGTAAAGTATGCCTCCGAAACTTCTCGCATTTGCAAAGATCTAGGGGCCTTACTTTACGGTTGCCTTTCGTTCAACGTTCTTTCATACTAACAAACGCCGACAAAAACTAGTATTGAAACGGCAAAAAGGACGAAGAGAGCGAAACAAAGATTGAAAGGGTAAAACTATGAAATAAAATACAAATACTAAAAAAGTTAAGAATATAAAGAGAGAGGAAGAAATAGGTAGAAATAAACGAACGAAAATAAAGAAAAAAAGCAGCAACAAAAAGAAGTAGAGGACGAAAGAAACGGAGAAGGCTTCCCAAATACGCCATTTCTCCAGCCTTGGCACCAATACGTGTGAAGCTGCTTTTTTGCATAAAAACACTGCAAGAGCATGTTTTTGTTATTTACGACTTTATTTACAATGTGAACGGTGTTCAGCTGCCCTGTGTTCCGAGCCCAAGTTTTCTCTGATCCAATACGTGGTTACATGCCAACAACGTGATAACGTGTTCCGTACCAACAATGGGTGTCTATATCAACAACGTGATGGCGGGTGGTGACCGCGGCTTCATAAAGGCCGCACCGACTTCGGCTGTCAGCGAAAGTCATTTTTCTGCCAATACATCGTACATTTGTAGCTCTTCACGCTCGGTGCGCTCCAAGAAACGTCTGAATACACCAAGCTTCGGCCAAACTTCAACGAATACATGAGAGTTCTGCCACAGTTCAACAATATATGCATTGGCCGGCCAAGAAAACACGGCCGTTTGATTCAAATATTCTAACTAACGGGCATGTAATGAAGAAGTCTTTACTGTATAAGCAAACCCTTACAGTAAAAAATTAACACATGGCTTATTCTTGAGACTTCTCCGAACTACTTTGTTGGTCAACTACGTCATTCGTTTAGAAAGTTATTATTTAAGGTGATGGAATAGTAAGACGTCCTCCATAGTCATCCTATTCACAATGCTGAACTCAAATGCTAGTTTGCAGATAGAATAATGTGTCCGAAAAGAGCTTAAATGTGGCAGGCCCCGAGGAAGCATTTTTGATACTTTTCTCTTTAGAATTTGAATTGGTAAGATTGAGCAATCATAACAACGCTAAGCTTACAATTCATGTAGATGCTACCAACGTATATTTCGTGGGAAAACTAAATACAAACTTGACAACAAAAGCTAATGCGACCCATGTTGGTATATTTGGTGTGCATGAAAACCACCTAAAGTAGCATGCCGAAACTTAGACCGTATTTTTTCGTATTAAAATGACTTGTAAATTGCGAATTACATCACCTATGGTAAACACACTTGCAGGGGAGACTTCAGCGGCTCTGTAAGGCCGGGTATGACTTATGACGCGAAGCGTCATCGTCTTGGAACGGGGAGTGTACGAGCGTAGGCTTTACAGTTGCAATATCTGGGCCCATTATGTTTAGGCTAACTGAACGGATCCTGAGCTCCGTTATACTCTTAGGGGAAATTTGTAGGGCCAGGTTAGAGTAACGCCACAGAGCGTCATGGTTTTCGGACTAGGACTTGCCCAATATACAAATCAGAGGATTGAATGCCTCCCTTTCCCTACATATCCAGCGACTGGACACTTTGGCTTTGCCTGCACGCTAGCGAGGATACAGGAAAAGCACTACTGGCCCCGCCTCATTGCCGACGCCATACGCTAAGCAAAAACCTGCCTAGGCTGTCAGCGACGAAACACACCACTAACTAGGCCAGTTGCACTTAGGCAGCCCATCGAGCAACCTCGCCGGCGGTTTCAGCAAATGGGCATGGGCCTGCTGGGACCATTCCCGACGTCGAATTCCGGAAGAAATAAATTGTTGTAGCTACTGTCTATCTCACCCGCTACGTCGAGACAGAGGCGCTGCCAAAAGACAGTGCCACCGAGGTAGCAAATTTATTTGTCGAGAACATCGTACTGCGTCATGGTGCCCCAGAACTCCTCACAACCGACAGAGGTGCGGTTTTCACTGCGGAATCAACTCAGGTGATCTTGGCACGCATCCATACAAGCACCGCCAGATGACAGCGAACCACCCACAGGCGAACGGCTTCACTGAGCGGCTAAACAAAACCATCGGCGACGTGTTGGCCATGTAAGTCAACGTTGAACACAAGACCTGAAACACCATCCTTCCACACGTGACCTTCGTATTCAACACGACGGTGCGGGAGACGACTGAGATGTCGCTATACACGTTGTTCTACGGAAGGAACCCGTCCAGGATGCTAGACGCGATGCTGCCAATGTCACTGACGAAGAAAACCTCGACGTGACTGTCTACCTTCAGCACGCCGAAAAATCAGGGTTGATTGATTCCGAAACCACAATTTGATTATGAGAGACGCCGTAGTGGAGGGCTCCGGAAATTTTGACCACCTGGGGTTCTTTACCGTGCACCCAAATCTAAGTACACGGGCCTAAACATTTCCGCCTCCATCGGAAATTCAGCCGCCGCAGCCGGGATTCGAACCCGCGACCTGCGGGTCAGCAGCCGAGTACCTTAGCCACTAGACCACCGCGGCGGGGCAACGAAGCAGGACAACTCACCCGCCAGCGCATCAAGAACCAACAGACAATTGATAGCCACCGTTACAATATTCGACGACACTTCGCGGAATACCATCCCGGTAACCGTGTTTGGGGGTAGCTGCCGATTCGCCAACGTGCACGGAGTGAAAAAATTTTCAACGATACTTCGGGTCGTACAGGGTATGCTATAGCTCT